TGCTCCCACTTACCGCACCCGCCCTTTCCCAGGATGAAGCCTGCTGGGAGCGTGAATGACATGGCCCTGGATGCCTTCGACTTGGACCGGATGAAGCAGGTGAGCGTGCCCTGTGCCCTTCCCTCAGAGGCCGAGGGCAGCCAGTAGGCTGGGGACCGTCTCTGACCAGCACGGCCAGGCAGGCCCTGGGGGCCCACACGTGGCTGCCAAAAGGCCAGTCAAGGAACAGCCGTGGAGGAAAGGGGGTGCCCGAGCCTGTCCTTCGTCCCCAGCCCCTGCCATCACCAGAATTAAGATGTCCCTCAACCTTTCTGGGCACCTCCCTCAGGCCTGCCTCGGGGCGGCCCTTAGTTTCAGTGGTGTTTGCCTGAGGGAGGTGGTGGCAGGGTTTTCCCAGGCCTCCCACACCGTCCCCCTCAGCGTGGGAAGGGGCCACGAGGAGACGAGGGTGACAGATGCAACTCTGGAGAGGCCCAGGAGGCCCCGAACCCTTTGGACATAACCCAGCCCAGGCCGGCTTTTCTGTCTCCACTGCCTGTCCCTTCACCTGGACGCTCCTCTCCCAACAGGAGATCCTGGAGGAGGTGGTCAGAGAGCTCCACAAGGTGAAGGAAGAGATCATTGACGGTGAGTGGAGGCCCAGGCGGGGCCACAGGACGAGGGTCCCTGTCACCCAGGGTGGGGACCTGCAGTTTTGAGCTGAAGCCCATGCTGTACTGGGCCCTGTGAGAGATTTCATTCTTCTTACAATCTCTACTTGAGGAAACAGGCTCAGGAAAGCTCAGTGGCTTGCCTAAGAATTTGTAGCTCCCTGGTGGTGTGACACCTGAATCTGACCTTCACACCCTTGCACCCTCCTGGAAGACCCACGTGGGAAGTGCATGGAGGGGAGACCCCAGCGTCGTTCCAGAGCCAGGTCTGGTGGAAGCCACCTGAGCTTCTGTCATTTCACCCCCTGGTGGTTTATGTTGCCTTCTTGATACTGCCACCTCGAGTCACCGGTGTTGGGGTTCTGAGGGGACCACTCTGCCTTCCTGGGGGTACAGGGAGACCAAGCACTACAGAAACACCTTCCAGGCCTGAGCTCGTTCACAATCTGCCTGGTCCTGGACTGGGGCGCAGGCGGGGAGCAGCCTCAGCTCCAGAGCAGGGCGGGCCTCAATGCATCACATCCGTCCTTCTGGTTTCCACCAGAGCCTTTGAGCGCACTGGCTCAGATCTGCAGCCAGAGGAAAAGGGGGAGTCTGGGCAGGGCAGACTCAGGGGACAGAGCTGTGCAGCACAGCCTGTGCCAGCTCCCCCACCTGCCTCCCCAGCCAGGGTGACGAAGGCTGACACCTAGGTGTGTAGCTGAGTCTGGCCCCCAGGGCATCACAGTGACCTGGGCAAAAGGGTCCCACAAGCACACAGGGGTGGAGGCTGATGGCAGAGGTAAGAGGCAGGTGGGAGTCCGAAGACCCAGGCCTCCTCCTGCAGCCGGCCCACCCTTGTTTGAGCAGAGAGCACTCAGTTCCTGTTTGTCCAGTTCCCCCAAAGGCCTGGGCTGGGGAGATAAGGAGTTAACAAACGAGGGGAAAGAGGCAGCCTGGGCGATAGGCAGGCACCCAGCCAACTGGTCACACCACCTTACTACCAGGCGCCATCCGGCCTCAGGCACAGCTGGGTCAGAAACTCAGGGCCCACCACAGCCTCTCCACCTGCCGTGGTGCAGCCCCAGGTGGAGGCCACCCTGGCTGAGAGCCAGGGGAGGGGGAGGCAGGGGCTATGCCAGGGGCCCTGAGAAGCAGCTCCCTGTTGCTGGGGGACGCCTGCCCCCACCACCCCTCACCTTCTCCTAGCTGTTGGCTCTTGGCCCAACAAGGTCCATCCAGGGAGAGGCCTGAGCTGACATAGAGGAGGGGGAGTCCGGGAGGAGATGGATACCAGAGGAAGGAGGGAAAGGCCCAAATTTGGGAGGCAGGGGGTTGGTGCACTAGCTTGGGGTGGTGAGGAAGCGGGGAGGAGGCAAGAAGACAAGAGAGGCCCCGCCTCTCCTGAGGAGTGAGCAGAGCCAGGGTGGTCCCTGGGGTCCAGGGCCAAGATTTCCTGCTGACCCCTGTAGGAGCTGGAAGGGCAGAGCCTCGGCCTCCACTATGTTGGGGGAAGGGGTCCCGGGCCGTCGGCACCTGGACACCCACCTGTCCAGAGCCTACAAAGACCCTGCGTCCCCACACAAAGCAGCTCCTCACACCAGGGTTCCAGTGCCCACCACTCCTCAGCAGCAGTGAGGCCACAGGCAGGGCATCAGCCTCTGTCTCCATGCCAGGTCCTCCCCTAAAAGGGCAGTGACAGCAGGGGCCACCGCAGGAGGAATGGCAGATGAGACCCAAAGCCTTTTGTCGTCACCCCAGAGGTCTGCGCCATAGCCTGGGTGGGGCTCCCTGGAGATGGAGCGGGGCAGATACCAGGCAGGTCCACACCAGGGGTGCAGGGCCCTGATGAGCCAGGCTGCACGGTCCTGGCTGCACCTGAGCTGCCGCCCCCTGTCCCGCAGCCATCAGGCAGGAGCTGAGCGGGATCAGCACCACGTAAGGGGCCTGCCTCGCAGCGCTGAGACGTTGAGCCCATCCAGCGACAGAGGACAGCCAGGAGCCCAGCCAGCCCCAGACTCTAGTGCACCGGAGCACGCACAGGAGCCTGGGCGCGCTGCCGTGAAACGTCCTGACCTGTGACCACACGTTACAGTGAGGAAACCAAGTGCAACTCCTGGGTTTTTTAGATTCTACCTGACACAGAACACCAGGTCTGCTCATCTTTTTTGTGTTTTATATTTGCTTATTTAAGGTACATTTCTTTGGGTTTCTAGAGAGATGCCCCTAAGTCACCTGCTTCATTAGACGGTTTCCAGGTTTTCTCCCAGGTGACGCTGTTAACGCCTCAGCTGGCAGTGACCGCCGGCCCGGCGTGGCGCCACTGCACACCGCAGAGCTGTCCAGGCGCAGCTCTGTCCCCAGCGCTCATGGTGTTGAAACTGTCTGTCATGCACCACGGTGTCTGTGTCCACACAGTAATAAACAGTTTACTGTCTGCACCCTCGGGCTCAGGCCCTCGCATTGATCCGTCACACTGCAGGCTGGGGATGCCCCTTTTCAGGGAAGCGCCCGGGACCACGGTGACCAGGAGTCGTAGGTAGGAGCAAGGTGGTAGTCTTCAACAGGAACCTGGGCTCAAACATTCCCAAGCCCCGGCAGGGTGGGCTGGTGTCCTGGGGCTGGGCTTCAGGTCCTGTCTGTAGGGAACTCCCTATGGGACCCCCAGAAAGATGGCGCTTAAGAGCAGCCCACACCCCAAACCTCACAGGCCTCTGTGTGCATTCTGACGGGCAGGGCCCCGCGAGCAGCCTGTTCGGGGCAGGGACGGACGTGGGGCTCCGCAGGCACCAGGCAGATGCAAGGCAGCTTTGCCTTCTCAGCCCCACAGTCTCCTGGGAGGACCACCTGGCCTGCAATGGGCTGTCCCAGGCCCCTGCCCTGAGGCAGCAGCCAGAGACAGAGGCTCTGACCCTCGGCTTCAAGGACCCAGGGTCACCAACAGGCAGGCCTTGAGATCCTGTGACCATTCATGCCCCTAGTTCTCCCACATGACCTCCCGCGGCCACAGAGCAGTGTGCCCAGCAGTTCCCGAGGGCCATGGCACGGGAGGGAGCCAGCACTGGCCTGCTGGGACCCAGTGGCTGATCTCAAGGGCCAGCTCCTAGCACACTGCATGTCTTTGGGCTTCCTGGCAGCCCTAGCAACAGTAATAGGACTGCTCTGCCCCTTAGGAGGCTCAGCTCTCTGAGTGGCTTCGCTTAGGTCTGGTGGCACTTTTAACCCAGGGCCTGCAGACCACAGCTCAGAGCTGCTCTCTCCTGCTTCCCTGCTGCCCCCCAGGCCAGGAGTCCTGTAGTCTCCCCAGGAGAGCTCTAAGGACTGTCTTCAGAGCCACCCTCCGACCCTGGGCCCAGCCTCCAGCTTGTGGGTGAGGCCGGGACATGTCCCTTTGCGCTGTCTGCAGAAGTGTGCTGGACGAGGCACCTGTCAGGCACAGCAGGAGGAGTGGGTGCTCTGGGGCTCCCCTCGGCCTGTGGGTGTGCCTGTGTGCACAGGGAGGGGCTGCCCGGCTCAAAGTCCTGGTGCTGGGGCCAGCGGCACTTCCTTCGCAGAACAAGTCCTGGGCTCAGGCCCCTTCCCTGTGCCACTCAGCAAGCTGCCCACTCAGGGACACAGGAGCCCAGCACCATGTGGGGCCACTCCCAGGTATAGGGGGAGGCCTGTATCTCCCAGGTCAGCAGGGACGGCCCCTGGCACCCCACTCATGGAGAGGCCTTCAAGCCCTGAGTATAGCTTCAGTCTCCCTTCCTAAGTCGTGGAGGCTGACGCCGCCTTTCCCCAGGGCTGTGGTGGGAGCTGCAGGGCTGGGCCCACTCCATCCCTCTCTGGCAGGGAGGGCCTCACCCAGGGACCCCTCCTGCCTGCCCACCTCTGGGACATCAGGACCCACCCCACGCCAGCCCCTTTTCCGAGCTGGTATGGGGTGCAGACCCTCTGGGCTCAGGGATGCTCCCCGCTGCAGGAGGGGGTAGGGAGAGCAGGAGGTGAACAGGCCTGAGGGGTGTGGGCGAGGCAGGTGGTATGGGCTCAGGGGGGTGGGGGAGCCAGCCTCTGCAGGGCTTAGCCAGGCAAGGGAGCAGTGGGGTCCCCGGGCTGCTAGGAGGGGATTCTGGGCCACACAGATGACCAAAGTGAGCTTTCTGCTGTCCACACCTCAGTGTGTGTGCACATCACAGTGGCAGGCCCTCAGGGAGCACCACCCAGCAGCAGCCACCATCCCACAAAGAGCCAGGAGTGCGTGGCAGGACCTGGGCCTGGCCTGGAGGAAGCGGCACTCAGGCCTCAAGCTCCACCCATTGGGGTGGCCTAGCGCCCCATTCCCTGTGGCCAGGCTCAAGCCCAGACCACCCCCTCAGAGCACAATCCACGGGCTGTGAAACAAACGCTGGGTTTAATGTAGGGCACAGGCACCCCAGAGAAGTCAGCTCCGTGGGGACCGTGGGCTCAGAGCATGCAGGTCACGATGGGGCAGGGCCAGGTCTCACCTGGTGAGGCCCAAACAGGGAGGGCCACGCTGAAGGTCCAGGGCAACTCCACGTGCAGGTGGAGCCCTGAAGCCCACACTGCTGTCTCCAGGTGTGGCTGCCCAGGACACTCCTCGGGGACAAGGGCAGCAGTCCAGGGTACAGGAAGGAAATGCAGCCCCTCGGTGCTGGGGCGTGAGGCCAAGGGGCCGGTGGGGGACGATGACCGCCACCAGGAGGCAGCCCGGGCTCACAGGCCGTCCTTTGCCAGCCTGTACACCCGCTTCACCCTGGCGTAGGGCCCCAGGGAGTCCTCAAACACAAAATCCCAGAGCACCTTCACCCACGAGTGGTGCTGTGGCAGGTGGTCGTAGTACTCGGGCGCCATCTTCCGCACCTGTAGAGAGGAGGGCGGGGCTGAGGGGCTGGTTCTCCTCGGGGCCGCACCCGTGAGCACACTCAGACACCCGAGCACACGTGGCGGGCGTGCACACACACACTCATGTACAGACATGTTTGCGTGCACACACACACACACGGGTGTACGTAATGCACACACACTGTCGCCTCTGGGGTGCCCACGTCCAGCTCAGCCAAACACAAGGCCACCCTTCTGGCCCTCCCTGCCACCTACCATTCCCTGGGTGCCCAGAAGGCTGGTGCTGGCTGCTGGAGGGCCTGGTGGCCTGAGCTGAGCCCAGGACGCTATGGCAGAGGCACCCACAGGCTCGGCTCGGAGCGCCTGCCCCAGGTGGTAGTTGCAGAATTCAGTGCCCCACTCCACTTGGCCCCACCCCACCTTCTGGTCTGGCAGACCCCACCGCTGGGGGGGGTTCTCCCCGCGGTGCCTGCACAGTGCTGAGTGCCTACCTGAGTCCTGCCAAGCCACGGTGTCACGCCCATGCATCTCAGCCCTGTGACCCGCCAACCTCGGCCTCAGCCAGCCTCACTGCTTGTCACATTCCAAGGGCCTCTTGAGCACCTGCTGTCCCCTCCAGCCTTTGTTCTACACACACACCCCCACCCACCTCCTCCAGGAAGTGCTCCCAGCTTCAGCACCTGCAATTGCACCACCACCACGCCACCCCATTGCTCAACAGCATGCAGCCTTGGCCCAGCTTCCACCACAGGGATGCCCTTCCTGCCCCTTCTGCGCCCCGTCACCTCCTAAGGATGCTCTCAGGACGCAGGGAGCCCGGCCGCAAAGCCAGGGCAGCAGGGCCACAGGAGGCGGGGCCGGCACCAGGCACCCAGAGCCCCTCACTTTGCTCAGGAGAGGTAAAGGCCCGTGGCTAACAGCAGGCACTCACGCCAACTTGGGTCCGGATTCTTGCTCTGCCACCTCCTGAGATGGGCACCTCTCCCGTCTGCACCCTGTCACCTCCCCCGTCTGCACCCTGTCACCTCCTGAGATGGGCACCTCTCTCCCTGTGCCTCATCACCTCCTGAGGCAGGCACCTCTCCCTTCCCGCCCCGTCACCTCCTGAGGCGGGCACCTCTCTCCCTGCACCTCTGCCTTATGTATACAACAGGGACAATGGATGAGGAGGCAGCTGCTTCCTGGGCTGTGGTGAGGTTCAAGTGAGATGATGCCTGGTGCAGAGCACCGCCTTGGTACTGCCAGCCGGAATGGCAGTACCATGGCCCAGGCTTGGAATTCGGTCTGAGGGATTCCAGAGTCACACAAGCCAGGGTGCACACACACATGCACAAACACCTGCATACCCGGGTAAGCGCTCACACATAACCACACACACAGAGACGGGCGCGCACGCTCAAGCACACATACAAATGCCTGCACACGTGGGCAGGCATCCACACACCGTCACAGGGCAGACATGCTCACACACAGACACAGGCACACCCCGGTGCACACAGGCGCACACTCAGGCGCTCGAACACCTCCCCAGTGCCACCTCCTCCCGCCCCCTTTGCCTGCAGGTCACTCCAGCTCTTTCCAGACAGCCAGAGGCTACCAAGGCGCAGACTGGCAATGGCTGAGGGACGGCTCCTCCTCCCCCTTCCCCTTCCTCCTTTCTCATTCAGAAATTCTCCAGCTCCCGGTCTCCTGAGGCAGAGGTGCCCATACCTGGGACTTCCACTCCCCATCAGCTCTGGCCAAGCCCCTTGGGCTGCAAAGAGCGAGGCCCACCCTGTCCTCTCTGGCCCCTGGAGGGTCACAGGGCAATGGCAAGGAATGACAGGGAAAGAGCCTGCAGATGGGAAGGGTAATGCTCCCCATGCAGTGTTGCTATGCGCCCCGCTTCAAGGAAGACACCCCGTCAGTGTCATGGCGGCTTCAGGCAGCCTGAACTGTGAAATGCCTCTCAGACCCTACTTCCCTGAATGCTTCAGCCTCCAGCAGAGGACTCGCCTGTGTTGTGTGGCCTTTCCTCCTGCCCTGGGGACAAGTGCAAGTGGCCATGCTATGACCAGCACAAAAAGGGAGAGGCTGCTGGGTATGACCCAAGGCCCTTCCAGGGCCTCCACCTCCTCAGATGGCCGTGCAGTCCTGCCCTGCCACAGCCCTGCCGCCCCAGCCACATACCAGGGGCAGGCTGTAGCCCGGGATGCTGGGGAAGTCGTGGTGCTCCACGTGGTAGCCCACGTTGAAGGTGATCCAGTTGAGGGGCCCATAGTAGGAGTAGGTCTCGTGGCCCTTGAGGAACATGTAGTGCTCGGCCACGAAGTGGCCCGAGATGGGATGTAGGCCCAGGCCCAGGAGGGAGCTGGCCAGCAGGTAGACCATGGGCTTGAGCCCCCAGAGGGCAAAGATGGCCACATCGGCCGCCAGCTGCACCAGCGTGTTGAGCACCTCCATGCGGGTCACGGCCTTGGGGTGGACGCAGAGGGGCCGCAGCGAGTAGAAGAAGGGCTGCAGCACCAGCCAGAGCAGCTTACGGGCGGGCGTGCAGAAGAACCAGCCCTCCAGACGCGTGGGCACGTCCACGTCCAGCCCATCACCACCCAGGTAGCGGTGGTGGTCCACGTGGTACTTCTTGAAGGAGGCGGCATAGGGCACACCCACAGGCAAATTGGCAAACACGGCCAGCCAGCGGTTGCGCGCCGCGCAGCCCGTGCCAAAGGCCGCATTGTGTGAGATGTCGTGGATGGCCAGCGTCAGCGAGTGGTTCACGCAGCCTCCGAAGGCGTAGGCCCAGAAGAGCAGCCAGCGCCAGGCCAGCCTGCGCACCAGCCAGCAGGCCAGCAGCTGCATCAGCACCAGCACCAGCACCGCCCACTTGAGGCGCGGGTCCGGCCGCATCAGGGCCTTGATGGCCGGGTACTTAGCTGCAAGGAAGACAGGGAGGTGTGAGGCCCTGCTCAGTGGGGTTGCACCCCACCCTCCTCCGCACGCTCCTTCCCACTGCGGTGGCCAAGGGGTGAGAAGGCAGGAGTGGCCAGCAAACCTCGCTGGTCCCTTTGCCCCTGCACACAGGCCCTGTCCCTCGAGGGCCTGCTGCTCCCCTCCCCCGACCGAGCCTCATCCCGCCAGACTCAGAAGTCAGGACTCCAGCAGAGGTACATACAGCCCACGCTGGCAGCCAGGCCCTGCTGCTCCCTGAGCCAGGCCTCATCCCAGCTTGTTCCCACCTAGTAGGTCCGGGCCAGCGGGGACGATTCAGAGGCTATGCCTCAGTTCAGGCACACTGGGGGCCTCAGCCCAGAGGTCGGGGCCCAGCGCCCGCAGCAAAGTGGTCCCAGGCAGGGAAGCAATGTCCCCTGTCAGGCAAAGCAAGGAGGACCTACTGGCAGCTCCCACTCAGGAAGGCTCTGGCCCAGGCACAGGGCTAAGGAGTCGCATGCGAAGTCCCCTTTGTGTGCCTGGATGTAGGCTGAGACCGCAGGTCCAAGGGCACCACTGCCCACTGCCTCCCTCTTACCCAGGGACGCCCCTGCCCCCAGGGCAGTAGCCAACCTACCTGGGGGCCGGCCAGCTCCAGCCCCACTCCCACCCTAAGCCCGGCCCCGCTCCCAGTCCCCGTTCCACAGGCAACCAGCTGCTGCTTCCCCTTGGAAGGAGGCCAAGCCTTGGGGCAAGAGGGAGGGGCAGGCCACACCTGTGCCAGGTGAGCCACAAGCAAGCAGCTCTGGGGAGGGCCAGCCCAGGCCTCCAGCTCTTGGGTGCAGACAAGCATCAGCCACTCCTGCACCCTTCAGAAGCGAGAGCCACGACAGAGCCTGGCAGCCCTGACCTTGAAGAGTGAGCCTCACTTTCCCCATCTGCTAAACAGAGATACTAAGTTCTCCCTGTGTGGTGCGGCCTCAGGGTCCCTCCCCACGCCCTGTGCAGCCCACCTTCAGGGAGCACCGTGCCCTTCCTGCTTTCCTCGGCACCTCCTAGGACTCAGCTGCCCTCCAAGCCCCAGCCTGCCTTCAGGGACTCCACTTTGGACCACCAGAGAGGAGAAACCTGCACACAGAAGGACACCAGTGCCCACCCTGCCAGCCCCTCACCCAGCCCCAGTTACGGGCTGGTCCTGTCTCCTATGGGTGTGCTGGGGCCTCCAGAGCCGCTGGGAGCCCAGAAACAGCCACTGGGCTGGCCCATCCCACAAGCATGCCCCTAAGTCCCCTCTGCGTGAACTCTGGGCTGTTTCTAACTTGGCGCATCTGGCAGGAGGCCTAGTGCAGGCAGGTCCCAACAAGCCTCAGGGGCCCATCCCCAGCCATGACCTGGCCAACAGCAGGGGCCCCCCCAGCCTACGTCTTCCCATCTGGGAAATGGGGATGCCGTTCCTCTATGTCCATCAGGCTGTGGGGAGGCCAGCACGATAGTCTGAGCCCGGGGGGTGCCAGCGCTCAGTAGGCACGAGCTGGTGCTGTTGTCATTAAAGGTGCTCTGAGAGTAAGAGCTGGTCTTGGGGCAATGACCTGGCCCTGGCTTGTTTTAACAAGAGCAGGCCCAAAGCTTACAGGCCCGGGAGCCGCCAGCTAGAAGTAACTAAAAACTGGGCAGTGCATGAGGTAGCTGAGCACGGGCAGCACAGGCGTGACTCAAGGAGGAAACAGATGCAGGGAGCCCCAGGTCACCTCACCTGCCTGCAGGCACCTGCTGGACTGCAGCGCGGGGCTGAGGGACCCCCAAGGAGTTGAACGAGCAGAGAATGGCACTCAGGGAGCCCGAGACGCCCACACTGCTGGTACAGGGGCTCCTGCCAAAGGCCCGGGGCCCAGAGAAGCTTTGCTAGAGCAGGAGCCCCGTGACAGTTCTGAAAACAGTAGCTTCTGGAGCTTTGCACCCAAGGAGTTCCAGAGGTGGCATAGGCTGGGAGTCCCAACCCACTGAGGCAGAGAGGCCTCACTGAACACCCCAGCCTCCAGTGGCCCCCCAGAAGCCTTGTCTTAGGAATGGGTCTACTCTGCACCCACCCAAGAAGGTCAGTTAACTAACTCCTTGCCAGGAGAAAACAACCCACGCTCTTTGCAAAGATTGCAAAGATCTACCATCTTCAGCTTCAGAGCGCCCAGGTCCCTGGGGGAGTGGGAGTGGGGACATGCCAGGAACACTCGCGACCACGCCGTGCAGACTGGATGTGCAGGAGAGGGCCGTGGCTGAGGTCACCCTGGGTGCAGTCAGGATGGGGTAGTAACTGAAGCCATGGCTTGGAAGTGGTTAGCTGCTAGGGGTCACAGAGGTTCAGGGACAAGAAGAGAGTGCAGGCGTCCCTGGACTTAGCCAGGTTATGGCGTCTCAGCAGGAGCCGTTCCGGTGCAGCCCAAGGCAAGGCAAGGGTGAGATGAGGTGGCGAGGATGGGTCCGTCGAGGGCATCGGGCAGGGAGGGCAACAGGAAGGCACCAGAGGATGGCAGGATGGGAAGGAGATGTCAGGGTGGGCGTCATGGAGAAGGCAAGGGGCGCCAGAGCTGAGTGCCAAGGGGACTCAGGAACTCCTCAAGAGCTATGGAGTGTGTCTGTCAAGGTGTTTCCAGACTGGCAGAGGGTAAGTGGACTGAGTGGGGAAGGCCTGCCCACAACGTGGACCAGCACCATCCAGTCAGCTGGGGCCCCGATAGAACAAAAAGGCAGAGGCGAGGGTCTCCCTCCTGTCTTTCCCTCCCTCTCTCCCTCCTCCCATCCCTCTCTCCTTCTCCCCCTGCTTCCCTCTCTTGGAGCTGTACACATGCTTCTCTAGTCCTTGGATATCAAAACTCCAGCCTTTGGACTCCAGGAACCACACCAGCACCCCCTACCCTCCATCTGCTTTCAGACCTTCAATACCATACTGAGGGTTCCACCATCGACTTCCCTGGTTCTGAGGCCCTCAGACTCAGACTGAACCATGCTACCCCTACTGCCACCCCGGGTCTCCAGCTTGCAGACAGTCTGTCATGGGACTTTACAGCCTCCATAATCACATGAGCCAATTCCCCTAATAAATCCCCTCTTTGAATGGATAGATGATAGGTAGATAGGTAGGTAGGTAGGCAGGTAGGTAGACAGACAGACAGACAGATAGATAGATGATAGATCGATCGATCCAGGCATGGTGGCTTATACTGTAATCCCAGCACTTTGGGAGGCTGAGGCAGGAGGTTTGCTTGAGCCCAGGAGGTCAGGATGAGCCTGGGCAATACAGCAAGACCTTATTATGCAAAAAGTTTAAAAATTAGCCAGGTGTGGTGGTGTGTGCCTATGGTCCCAGTTACTTGGGAGGCTGAGGTGGGAAGATCGCTTGAGCCCAGGAGTTCGGGGCTGCAGTAAGCCGTGATTACACCACTGCACTCCAGCCTGGGTGACAGTAATGGTAAAAATAGATAGATAGATAGATAGATAGATAGATAGATAGATAGATAGATAGATAGATAGATAGATAGATAGATAGATGATAGATAATAGATGAGAGAGAGAGATACACACACACATACATAGATACATAGATCCTATCAGTTCTGTCTCTGGAGAACACTGACCAATTCGGGGCCTCTTCCAGGGGCTCAAGGAAAGGGGGACAGGGAGAATGGGTGGGACTGGGGAGTGGGAGTCAATGGGTTCCATGGCCTTGGGCTCCATCTTCTCTGGGTCACAAGAGAGGGGAAAGCCCAAGGCAGAGAAGGACAGGGAGAAACACAGCTCCCTGGCAGCCCCGCGAGGAACTGCAGACCTGCAATTCCTGGCTAGACACCCAAACCTCGCCCAGCCGGGGAGCTCTGTCCTGCTGTGGGCACTCAGCTGACCTCCGGAGTGACTCTGCCCTCCCAGACCTCCAGCCTGGATGGCAGGAGTAGCTGGGTGACACATGTGCCTTGAGGGCTCTCTGCTTCATGGGGTAGCACAGAGCCCGACGTGCACAGCCACCTGGAACCAAGATACACAGATCCACACAGACAGTTTCCAGCAGTGGCCCCAGGTGAGGCACGAGGCATCTGGGCAGGTGGCCATGAACAACAGCTGTTGCTAGAAGTCACCCTGTCCAGGCAGGACACAGAAATGAAGGGTCTGAGGTCCAGGGAGGTGCAAAGAAGGGCCCATGAACGTGCAGCAAGGCTGACAGAGCCAAGACTTGAACTCACGACCCCCGACTCCAGGCCTGCACAATGCTGAGCAGGGCCCTGATATGGACTCGGACTCCATCAGCAGTGATGCAGTGCTTGGCTACACTGCCACAAAGCACCCAGAGAAAATCCTGGATCAGGGTTGGGCGCAGTGGCTCACACCTGTAATCCCAGCACTTTGGGAGGCCAAGATGGGCAGATCACCTGAGGTCAGGAGTTCAAGACCAGCCTGGCCAACATGGCGAAACCCCATCTCTACTAAAAATACAAAAATTAGCTGGACAAGGTGGCATGCGCCTGTAGTCCCAGCTACTTGGGAGGCTGAGGCAGGAAAATTGCTTGAACCCAAGAGGCAAAGGTTGCGGTGAGCCAAGATCCCACCACTGGACTCCAGTCTGGCAACAAAATGTCTCAAAAAAAAAAAAGTCATGGATCAGGCTCAATCAGACTCCTGTGCGCCCTTGGGCAAGCCCCTGTCCCTCTCTGGACCTGTCTCCTCAGTCTCCATCTGTAAGGCATCTGCTCTGACAGCCTCTGTGGCTGTGAGCATATGGACATGGGGTCTTCCCTAGGGGCCCATGGGAAAGAAGGGGCAGCCGGTGCCAAGGTGTGAAACGTCTGGCACCAGCAGATCTGCACACTTACATCAGTTAGGCTCGCTCATAAAATTCCAGAGGGCAGAGTCGGAGGCAGGGCCTGCTGAAGGGAGGCCAGCCCAAAGCTCCCTGCACCCGCAGGACAGTTGTATCACCCTGGTGCGACTCTAATGAGTTACAGCTTTTGCCCAGAAATTCTCCTGACAAATCCACTGAGCCACTGAGCAGAGGGACTGCATCAGAAACAGACAGCCAGGCCAGAGAGGCTGCTGTGCCCTTGCCTCCAAGAGTGGCAGAGACAGGGCCCACCCCATGTCAGACTCCTCCTCTCAGTCACAGGCTACTCCACCCCTGCCCCTCCTGACTGGCTGGCAATAAAGTCACTTTTGTCTTGTCCCCAGCAGGGCTACCAAAAGCTAAGGGGCCTCTTACTACCTCCACACTGGACCCCTCTGAGCCCCCAAGCCCTGGCTCTGGCAACATCTAGGGAGACCTGTTCTACCACCTTCCCAGGGAGGCCAAATGCCATCGCACGACAGTCACTCACTGGCCATATGGGAGGTGCCCCTTGTCACTGCCTGTCATCACTCCATCATTCCACCTCTGCCGCCACCTGCTTCCCAGCTCCCTGTTCCACCACAAAGCTGCTCAGGGTTGACAATGTCACCTGGTGGCCGCAGCAGGAAGTGCTTCCATACAGCGTGGCCTTTCCCCCACCCATCCACGGCTGAGCAACCCGACCTGGGACAAGCCTCTCCTCACAAAGGCAGCAAAGTCCTCCTAATCCCCTCCCTCCTAAACGTCTTCCTCCCTAGCCCTGGCCTAATGCTCCGGGAAGCCACCTACCCACAGCTTCCATCCCTGCCACCTGAGGTTTTGTGCCAAGAGACAAGCCTGACCCTGTCCATTGTGGAAGGCACCCTGGGACCTAATTGGATCTGGCAATTGTGGAAAGTGCTCACCTTCTCACCGGCCGCTCACTAAACCTGCCTTTCATTTCCAGTGACAAATATGTACTGAAGGTCTGGGAGCAGCCAGGCCCATGTACATTACAGAGATGGGGCTGCCCTGCAGCCATGCAGCTCCGTGGCTGGGAGATGGAGCCCCAAGTTCCTCTCGTGGCTCTGGCAGTTTGGTTCTGGATTTTACCAGTTACCACTGACAGAGCCCCAGTCCCGGCCTTTCTGAAGCAAATAATCTAGCAACGGCCAGCAGTCTCGCTTCCGGGTTTTCCTCTTTTGTTTTTCTTTATTTGAATTTTTGTATTACCATGTGTGCCGTGCTTTCATAATTTAAAAACAAACAAAATTACAAAGCTATTCATTTTCAAAAAAAAAAAAACAAACCCAGAGCTTGCCTTTTACTCCACCGGCCACGCCTGGCTGGATCTCTGATGGGACCAGTTTTGCTGGCTCCGGTCCTGCCCTTTCAGGCCAGGCAGCCTCAGCCCTGGCCTAGGAGACCCCACTTTCGTAGGAAGTTATGTGCTGGGGAGCATGTCTCCCTCCCAGGCAGGAGCTGGAGACGGACTTTGGCCCCAACCCACAGAGCTCCTGGAGCCAGCTCTTTGCAAGGACTTCCTGGATTCTGACTCTGAGATTATGATCTTTATTGAACATCCCTGAGCACCCAGGAGCTTGGCATGGGCTGCAGGAGCCAACTGGGTGGGGCAGGAGGCTGCCTGAGCACCAGCCTGGCCCGTGTGTTCCCAGGCAAGTTGCTACCCCTCTCGGAGCCTCACTCCTGCCTCTTCTATAGAGAGATGCTGGCAGTTCACAGCATTTCTGCGAGGACTGGGAATAGCACAGGCATGGAGACTATTCCCTGCCCTTAGGGAAACGACAGGCCTTGCCAGGTCTATCTCTGAGACATTAACTATTATCGCAGCTGATACTCACGAGTCCGGGAATAAGCACTTTACGTATCACCTCATTTCATCTGCACAACAGCCCCATTAGGAAGGTATGATTTATTAACCCCTTTTAATTCGCCCAGGCCTCAACTCCTTCCTCTGTTTACAGACTCATCCGTGGCTAATGAGTGGGTGTCAGGGTCCTTGCCAGGAGTTCAGCTCCACATCCAAGCTCCTGAACTGTGCCCCCAAAGAGCCCAGAGCCCAGAGGGCTTGTAGCCATGGAGGGGAACCCAGAGGAGGGGTCCCCATCCAGCTGGGCCAGGCCTGGGAGCAGTGGAGGCCTTTCTGCAGGAGATGGGACTGAACTAAGCGAGCAAAGCTAACCAAGAGAGAGCCTGGCAGAGCAGGGAGGAGGGACATTCACCCGGGAAACAGCTTGTGCCAGTGCCAGGGAAGGAGGGAATGGCACGTTCCAAGCATATTAGCTGAAACTAACAGGTGGAAAGGAAGCCCCTGCTTCCTCCACGCAGGAAAAGGAGCGTGGGTCAAGCTGGAGAGCCGGCCCTGAGGACTTGTGATCCCCAAGCCCTGGCCCCAGGTGCCTCTCCCTCTTCCAAGTCTTTCAACCTTCCTAGTCACCCACTCCAGAAAGCCTCCTGGATTGGTTCCAGGGCCTGTGGCTTCCCTCTTTAGAGAGAGCTCCTTCCCATGTCCCGGAGGCCCAAGTACCATCCCGGGCACCTTCCCAGCTGAGGTCTCATCTCGTCCTCACACCTACTCTGCCTGGTAGGACGACTGCCCGTTTTGCAGATTGGGAAAGTGAGGCCACAGCCCAGAGTGTCTGGGTCCCTCCAGGTGGCCCTGGGTAGGCCCAGCTCCTATTCTACGGATATGAGTTCCTAGGGACCAGGACACTGGCTGCCATGTGCCTCTTGCCTTTTCCACATGGGGCCAGATACCCAGTGAGTGCTGTGAGAGGAAGCTGGGGACAACCAGGGGAGGGGACAGAAACGCAAACAGGGCCAAGCAGGCCCCTGCTTCAACCTCAGCCCCACCTCAGACCTGCTGAGGGGCAGTAGCCAGGACACCTGCCCTGTTCACATCATGAGCAGGGAGGAAGGGTCAGATGACCCCCAAGGTTCGTCCCGGCTCTCCCCAGGAGCTCCACCGCGTAGGGGAGGCAGCTACCGCTGCTGGGACCAGACGATGCTGGGCTGCAGCTCACCTCCCAGGAGAAACCACAGCAGTCACAAACCCACACAG